ATGGTGTATTACATGTCGGACCAGATAAAAATTCCATAACGCGTAATGGAGAGCTCGTAAATATTTATCTTTTTCTAACTCGGCGATATGCTAAGTTTGCGTGAGAAACGCACGCGCGGAACGTAGGATAACTCTTGACACAACTCAGAAATGCAACAAGCTCCCGGGTCTTGATTATAATGCTCGGTGACCAGAAGTAATCTCATTAGCCGTGTCGTAAACTCATTTAGCAATTCACAAAGAAACCTTGCCTAAAATATGTACTTATGCGTATATAATCGAGTGCAAGCTGCGCTTTAACTTCATAATTAATTAATTCTAGAAAAGTTTTTAATCACAGAATTTACATGTTCCTATTCTACTTCGAAGAAATCGTAGATGCGCGCCTATATATATCCAATCGTATGCATATTATATTTCAAGAGGATCAGATCAGTTTAATCAAATCAGATTAGTTTAATATCAGTTTAATATAGATTTTTCAATCAAGTTAGAACGTTTCTTCTCTAAAGAAATATTGAAACATTAATAATTAAATTTGTAAGCGATATGACAATCATCATATCAGCTGCTTCAAAAACGGATTAATCGCGTGCAAAAGAAATGTCTGCCAAGACCTCAAAGAGGTACATTAAACTCAGGACATTATTTCGCGCTATACAGGAGTACAGTAATGACAAAATCAGCCGTAGGATTGCAATCCGGAACAAAACATTAGCGAGCGGCGGGGATTCGCGAACCACGCGCCATATGGCGGGGGCTTTCCGTGCAGGAAACTCGGTAGGATCCGCGAAATTAGCCGCAGATACCCGAGATTCCGCTTGCATAAGTGCCGTCGCAAAAACTCAGAATTCGTGAGAAGGATAGCTCATGCGGGAGGCGAGGGAATTATAGCGACAGGTTTGCAAGTGTACAATTATACAGGGACGTATAGTCAGTTTTCGAGACTCGAGAAGCTAATAATCCTTGAGAATCCCACGACAGAAACATAATTAAGTAGGCACGTATTTAAAAAATTGAATTTAATTTCTCGATTTTCTGCATAATAAATTTGAAAAATTCATTAATATTGTTAAGCTAGATTTGCGAATTCCAGTGATACAAATGAAGGCTTTTCGATATTTGAAATTAATTTAGTTTCTTCAACAGAAGATGACTAAATAAAGAAAGAAAAGCATCTCTTCTTATCTTACGTAATACATAGTTTTACAAATCGACAAATTTTTTGTTTAAAATATTCTACGAGATTTCGTAATAACTATGGCTCTTAAATTTCATCTTTGAAGCTTAAGTTCCATCAATTTTCACATAGATGCGTCCCTATCATTGTAACTGCAAAACAGAACACGAAAGTGAAAGAGATACAAAATAGCAGAAACAGAGAAAGAGAAAGAGAAGAAGAGGAGGAGGAAAGGGTGGTGAGAAAAGAGAGGAGAAACGGGTAGTAAGGCTCTTGCAAAACATACGCTGCTGAATCTGACACGTCCTCTGGCAGTCTGTTGGGTTTTCCAGGATGGTGAGGGGGCGTACAAATCTAGACGGTTACTTACTGACACACACAGCATTTTGCTGTCGTACCGAATTCTCTCTCTCTCTCTCTCTCTCTCTCTCTCTCCCTCTCTCTTTCTCTCTCGTTTACACTCACAACCGCGAGTGTAAGCTGTTCTCTCCGACTCTCTCTCTTCGGCTCACTGCCTCTCATCTCCACCCTCTCGACAGTATTGTATTGTATTAAAGCCGCGGCTCGTGTTGCGGCTTGACAAAAGCAGGCGCACGACCTACCCCGCCGCGTACTCAGTCTCCTCTTTCATCCCTCTACCACCCCCTTCATCTCGTAATCTCCCCCGCCTCGCTGCTCGCGCACCCCGTGGCGCTCCTGGAGAGTCCAGAACATATTGTATTATTCACGGAGTAATTTAAACCGCAAATGATAGATATCCTAAATATCCTCTTGGTCTGTCCGATCGACCATTCGGATTCAGCCAAGCTCCTGTCGTCTTGTCATGTGTGACAGCCGCAACAGGCGAATTAACGCTCGCACGAGGTTCGTAGCGTAAATACATAGTAAACACGTGCATATTGCGATAATCGAATCAATTGAATTTGATTATTAATACGTGGATAACTTTATTCGATATTTATTCGATATACGTTAATATAACGTATCATGCGTATTTTCATATTATCTTGTGTAACATTATATATCAAGAAACTTATAGAAAAATATATTATTACATTATAAAGAATATATATTTCATAAATGTCGTTTTAATATTTTTGCATCTGCGGTCAGAGCGTGCCTCCGTTTATATAAAATTACATTTTTAAATGAGATAAAATGTTCAATACGTAATATTTGACATTGCGATAGTAATGCGAGTTACATGACAAATAACATTCCAATCTAGATCTCACGTAAATATAATTTTAACTTTCCTATACTAATGTCAAATTAAAAAAAAAAATCCTCAGTTTATTTTAACTATAATTATTCAAAGCACTATTTATTATTTTAAACATACTCTCTTTATCGCAAAAATAATATTATTAGAGAAACTGTTCATATAAAAAAAAAGATAAAAAATATATAAAATAAAAAATTATATTAAGTTTGATATTTAATTTATAATCGCTCCATTATTACACATTAACACGTTACAAGTATTCATTTTTCTGCCGGTCAGTTTGCCGAACTTAGTTCCTAGTCCATCACCTTCCTTATTCCTGTCCTATCGTCAAATTTCAAAATGAATCTCGATCACGACTCCATCAAAAGTGCTTTTAACCTTTATCAGACATATCTGACTCTGACACGTGATTCGAATTTGTCGCCTACCTGCGGCGTCAGCGGAGCTCTTTAAAGTTTTTAACGTAGCTCTATTAAATTCAAGAAATCGCCTAAAGTCTATAATGATATTCTCAAACGTGCAAATGGTAATACGTAATCAAAATATATGCAATTCCAACAATAGATACTTTTGACAAAGAATGTCACGTTTAAAGTCTCATGTTATAACACTGTAAAAAATAATTACAAGAATAGCTTCAACATTATTATAAAAAAAATTATGCTATGTAAAGATCGATACAATTTTACTTAAGTGCACATGAACGGTTTAGACGTTAATGCAGAATATGAGTAAAAATCATAATTATCCACAACATGTAATACGAAAGCATGGTCATATATAGTTTCAAAAAGCTCCTGCTTATAATTATTCTTAGTAAATCTCGTGCGCAGAAAGCGTGGCTTGGTCTGAAAGGCAACTTTTCGCGACTTTTCCGCTAGACAACGTCCATGATGCACTGCTCTCGGCTTTTACATCAAGGCGACGCGCACGCGGGCTCGAATTAACGAGAGGCTTTTCGTATCTCAGCGTTATTACAGCTCTAAGTAATGCGCCGTGCTTAAACTCGTATTTATGACAGCCATGCAAAAATCTTTTGTCTTCGGACCGGAACATTTCTCTTTGCCAATCGCGCGATAGCGTAGCGTCAGAATTTTTTAATTTATGTCACACCACAATACCACACAAGCGCCAAACAATCGCGATTTTATTTGTCCAATAAAATTGCAACATGATAAAAAGAAAGGCACACGAAAATTTTCGATTGTATTCTCGAAAAGAATCTTCTTCGCAACTATTTTGTGAAATGTTTTGTCTCATTTAAAAATTTAATTTCTTGTAAATTTTTTTTAGCCTTTTCCATAAATAAATATAACCGATACGTACGTGACACGTTACAGAGTAAAACATTGTCTGAACAAAAAAAAAAGTTGTCGAAGATTGTATGACAAAAAAAGGTATTAATTAAGTTAGTGTAATTCTGTAAGAGAAGAAAAAAATTTTTTCTAGAGAGAGAAGAATCTCATTTCAAGAAATAAGACACTGATATTTTTTCGTTTCCATCAACAGCATTATTTTTACGCTCAACTTAGGACCTCCTCTCCTTGTAAGAGAGAAGAGAAAAGGCGAGTCATATGTCGAAGGTAATGGTGCGTCAGTGAATGATTTGTCTCAACCACACATTTTTCTGTACATTTATATTTTTTCTCCTACTATCTCTCCCTATCTTGCGTGTAATATTTGAATATTTTATATATGAGACGAAAAAAGCGTAAATATGTGAAACATTAATTTAATACGATACATAAATATATAAATATATATATATATATATATATATATATATATTTATATATCATATTATATTTATATATATATATATATATTTATGTATCATATTAAATTTAATTAAAAATATATTTCACATTTACAACAACAAATAAAAAATTGTGATTTATACGTATGGTGTAATCAAGTTTATATGCTATAATTAGATAAGATTTTTTATGTTTTAAATTGCATCTATAAATTCCATTATCGAGTTTGACTAATTTGGCAATTATTTATATAATATCACATGTTTCTATGAGATCTCATATATTTCTATTTTCTGCTACATCATTTTCTAGCGACATATCGCAATCAATTCCTGGCAACACTAAATGTTAATGATAAAGTTATGATTATACATTCGATTATTTCTACTTTCATTAAAAGATAACTAAATGGATTCATCGAAACGCATCGCTCATGCGTGAATGCCGTCTTTGTATTCTCGACGAAATATAAAAGGGTCTGCGCGCGCGTCGCGCACACGAGGCCTGAATTATTTCTCTCGTAAAGCTGAGTGAGAAGCATCCGACCAATGGACAACTCGTTCACTTATTTACCGTCGCCCCAAGCAAACTGATCGTGGAACATGTATTGAATTTTTCATACGTATCGCCTTCGTCTTTTTTTCCGTCGCTCGGGTTCTTTTTAAAAATTCTTGCGAGAGACCGGTAGCCTCGATTCTTCCTTGAAAGATTGAACGGCCGTTTCGCATCCACGAACGAAAGTGTTCTGTGCCCAAGATGCACATCGTGACGCTCGTATTGCTATCAGTTTTGCTATTCCGCGCCTACCACTACACCTACGGATACAATATTCTAGGTATTTGTCCAAGTGCAAGTTACAGCCACCAACAACCCTTCCAAGCATTGATGAAAGCATTGGCGGCTCATGGCCACAGGGTTACCGTAGCATCAACAATTCCTTTAAAGGTATATAGATTTTTTTTCCTCATATTTTTGCTAACGATTTGCTTGTCATCTATCAATCTATCAGTCTATACACACACACACACACACACACACACACATATTACACAAATATGCGTAACTTTAAATATAAATTATCAAGTTTTAGAAAATATTTCTCGAATATAATAAACGCTATAGTCTCATTTTCAAGTGTTTCAATATAATTTTGACTTATTCACGACTTAAAAAGATATCGGCATTTATAATTTTGACATTATTCACGACTTAAAAAGATATCGGCATTTATTACGTTTGAGAAATTTGCTGTCACAAGAAATCTTTATCATCTTCCTTTTTCTCTCCTCCCGATTATTGCAATATAACGCTTGCTTATCATCGCAAGAATATCCATAAAGCCGCAAGTATTTTTTGCAAAATCAAGATATTACATCGTTCTTGAAGAGCTCACGATTATTTTCGAGTCTCGGTAATCTTTGTGGCTTTAACAGCATTTTGGATATTTCTTTGGTCCGTTTAGACATAACTAAAACTACCATGACTGAATCCGTAAACAAAGTTTTATTCATTTTTCGCTCTCGGGCATAAATCATTATTCAAATAAATTTTCATTTACAATAATAAAAAATATCAATATAGAATATTGATCGAGAGATAGATATTTTTTTATTCCTCTTATTTCACATTTTTTTTCAATATTACACTTTCTTTACTCGCTTTTTTTTCTGACACTGACATCCTTCTTTCAAGCCCTCTCGGATCGTTCCTCTGACATCTCACTCGTTTCCCCTATCTACCGCCTCGTGTACT